TTAATGACATTTAATGTTATTAGTACTACACAATTAACAATTCCAATTCACTAAATTAAATAATATGACCAAATTAAACCCAATAATTTGAACATGTATATAAGGTCATTTGAATTAATAAATAATACACAATTACAATAACAAGTCACAATACACTTAATTAACACATTACTAACGTACGTTTAACTAACTAATTTCAATTAACATAAAGATCACTACGTTTAAAACTACGTTTAGCTAACTAATCTTAATTAAATTATTTTATAAACCTAACAGTTTAACTAATTTTATGACATTACTACGCTTACAGTTGAATATGTTGTTAATTAATTAACAACATCACTAATTTAATAGTTTTAATAATTTAAATTGAACCAACTAATTCTGAATAAAAATAATAATTCAAATAACATACCTTAACTGCATAAATGGGGAAAATGATAGAAGACAGACTACATCCTTCGATCTTTCAAACAGATACTGTATATACTGGGAATGAATTGGTGTGGTTCTGTTGAATGAACTGTTCCTGCATATATAAAAAAATTAGTCACGGACTTAGTCACGGATTTGTCCGTCACTAAGCAATATCGTGTCCATTACGCGTCCGATCCGTGTTAATGACGTGTAAATGACGTGTAAATCAAAGTAGTCACGGACATAGTCACGGACATGGCCGTGACTAAATTTATCCGTACATAATACCGTTGCGGATTGATTTATGGGAGATGCAAAATTAATTTTTAAATTTAGTCACGGCTGTAGTCACGGATGTGGCCGTGACTATGTCGCCGGAGTAAAACAAGCCAGGCCGGAAAATCAAACGGGCAATCGGAGGATGTTAGTCACGGACAAAAATCCGTGACTACGTGTAGTCACGGCTGTAGTCACGGTAAAATCCGTGACTAATTTTTTTTTTAAATTTTCGTGACTAGTCCGTGACTAGTCCGTGACTAGGCTAGTCACGGACCAAATCCGTGACTACGGTCCGTGACTAAACGAGTGTTTTTTTGTAGTGATCTACCATGACAATTACATTGCATCTATATATAGTTCTTTTTTTTTTAAGACTCAAAGCCTCAAAGCTCTTCTCTTAGTGGATTTTCTATAGTTTCATCTAAATTATTACTCAATTGAAGATACTACGTCGTTATCTACCATGACAATTACATTGCATCTATATATAGTTCTTTTTTTTTGGAATTTTAGAGTGCCGTCACTTGATTGTAAGCTTTTAGGTAATAAGACGGCTAACAATTGAACGAGAAAATTTATCTATCATATGTAGTACTTTTATGTATAAGATAAGCCGTTAACAATTGAACGGAAAACTTCATCTCTCATATGTAGTGCTTTTAGGTATTATAAAAGATAAGTGCGTTAACAATTGAGCGAAAGAACTTTCTCCCATATGTAGTTCTTTTAAGGATATAAGAAGATACGCCGGCTAAGATTGAGGAGAATATTTCTCTCTCTAATATGTAGTGTTTTTAGGTACTACCTCCGTCCGCCTAAGTTTGGGACAAGAGAAGGTGTCACGTTTATTAATAAAAGTGAGTTTATGTGGTTGATATTGAATTGATAAAGTAAGAATACAGTAAGAATGATTTAGAACCACACAAATTTTACCAAATAAGGTATGAGACAATTTTAGTGGGACGGACCGAAAAGGTAAAATGGGACAATCATAGCGGGACGGAGGGAGTATAAGGTAAGTCGATTATCAATTTGACCCTTATCCCTAAGAAAGATTAAGCCATAAGCCATCTAACAATTGAGCAAGAGGTTTCTTTCTCTCTTAAGTAGTGCTTTCAAGTATAAGATAATTCAGCTAGCAATTGAGAGAGTGAATTTTCTCTACCAAATAGTGCTTTTGGGTATAAGACAAATTGGCTAACAATTGAGAGGAGCATTCTCTCTCTCATATGTATTGCTTTTAGTTATTAGATGATAGACTTGCTAACAATTGAGCGAAAAAACTTATCTCTCATATATAGCTCTTTTAAGTACGATAGTATAAGATAAGCCGACTAACAATTGAGCGGAAGAATTATTCTCTGTCATACGTAGTGCTTTTAGATATAAGCTAAGACGGTCAACAATTGAGCGAGGAAACTTTATCTCTCATATGTAATAGTTTTAGGTATAAGAATATGAGCTTGCTAATAATTGAGCAGTGAAATTTTCTCTCTCATATGTAGTGCTTTTAGGTATTAGATAGAAGATAAGCTTGCTATCATTTGAACGGAGGATAGTGTTTTTAAGTTTTAGAAGGTAAGCTTGCTAGAAATTGAGAGGACAATGTCTCCCTCATATGTAGTTCTTTTAGGTATAAGATAAGAAGACTAACAATTGAGCGAGATAATTTTTTCTCTCATATGTAGTTCTTTTAAGTATAAGATAAGATAATCCGGCTAGCAGTTGAGCGAGAAAAATTTCTCTTCCATATGTAGTAGTTTTATGTATAACATAAGCCAGATAACAATTGAATGGGGGAAATTTCTCTCTCACACAAGATAAGCTTCCACATATAATTTTTTAGATAAAACAAGATAAGCTTGCTAATAATTGAGTGAAAGAATTTTCTCTCATATGTAGTGCTTTAGGTAATAGATCGAAGATAAAATTGTTAACAATTGAGCGATAGAATTATCATATATGTAGTTCTTTTATGTATAAAATAAGCTGACTAACAATTAAGTAGTAGAATTTTCTCTCTCATATGTAGTGCTTTTAGATATAAAATAATCCGACTAACAATTGAGTAGGAGATTTTCTCTCATATGTAGTTCTTTTAACTATAAGATAAGTCGGCTAAGAATTGAGCAAGATAATTACTCTCTCATATATGTTGGCACTTGGCATTAATTTAACTAATGAATATCAAGTTCTTATTTAACCAATATTCTTTAATTTTAATATTTATTGCATTCACTTATGTCACTTATTCTGCTCACTTTTTTAGAACAGTCTTTAGTTTTATAATTAATCTAATCATGAACGTTAATAAGTAGTGAATTCTAATGAGTAGTGTTAATTACTTTTTCTTAATATGCTTTTCATTGAATATATATTGTATGGGTCTATACATTGTGATTTTCGCTTACTGTATTCTTATTTTTTGAAAATGTCAATCAATACAAATTTATTTTTATTTTAATATTTAATTAGATTATGAATAAAATTATATGCACCAATTGTTACTTCCCGTGCGTATGCACGAGTACTATACTAGTTTATTGTTAAAAGAATTCTTTTTTGGGACTATTCCGAAATACACTAACTTCGTTTTAAACTATCGCCCAACCCAAGGTCAAGTTAACTCAACACAATTTTTCAAATTAACTCCTTACGATTATATATACATATACATATACATATACATACATACATACATACATACATATATATATATATATATATATATATATATATATATATATATATATATATATATATATATATATATATATATATATATATATATATATATACTCCCTCCGTCCCAAATTATTTTGCAAAGTCAACATTTTTTGGTCAACCAATAATAAAAGTCAAACCTCCTTATCGATAATTAACTCAATTTTAAATAATTAAATTTACATATTCAGAAACTACATTAAATTCTCTTCAAAGTTGCGAATTCCAAATTAAATTAGAATATAATTAAAAATTGACATCCTAATTAAGCAAATAAAATGAAACTGTTTGACCAAGAAAAGTCAAATTTGCAAATCAATTTGAGACGGAGGTAGTATATATATATATATATATATATATATATATATATATATATATATATAGAGAGAGAGAGAGAGAGAGAGAGAGAGAGAGAGAGAAGATCCCATGAGAAGTCCTAATTAGGCTGAAAAGTGAGAAACATTCTGGACCATCCGATTGACTCATATCTGCTGTCCGATTACATTACCCCAACTAGGGGTGGGCGCGGTCCGGAACGGTCTGGTAAATTAGTAAAACCCATAATGTATCCGTGAGGTTTTTAACGGTTCGGTACGGTCCGGTTCTAAGGATAGAACCATTCGGTACCATGTCGTTTTGGAATGGAACAAAACGATTCGGTACAATGCCACACATGCCGAAACATTTGAACAAATTTTGCAATTAGTAGATATCATCACACAGGCCAATTGACGTGAAATTTTGATAAAAATACAAGAAAGTGCATACTAAATACTAAAAAAGATTCAAGAGGTTGACATTTTTGTATTTAAATTCAAAAACACTCAAACAGTGAAAGGGATTTAATAAAAGTATAGCAAAATGACAATATACAATCGTATAATATCATCTTTATTAAATTCACGAGAACATATAGAAAGAATATCGTTAAATTATTGAACACGCTACAAATATTTAATGTTCTTCTTTGTTCTAAGTTGAATATTAATTCTAATATACGGGGTAGTTCATAGTTGAACCTAAGAGCTATGATTCAAACCATATTAATTGAGTTATAAAACTACACAAATATGATACAACAAAAGTCATATACACTACATTACTAGAAATTAATAGTCATTATTGTTTTTTAAACTTTGGCTTTCAGCATTATATACCAAATATAACATAAATTAATTATCTCAAAGGAAAACATAATAATATTTATATAACACACACTTAGCTATTTTAGGCCGGGATGCGTGAATACATATTTGGGCTATAAAGTTGTTGATCTATAAAAGATATTTATGGGTATGGAAAAATATAAAAAATTCTCAAAGACATTTTTTTAACGGTTCGGTCCGGTATTTTTCGGTTCTCACAATCTAGGACCGGTCCCGTACCCGTTTGAAACGGTACGGTTTCGGTTCGGGATAAAATTTTATAGAACCATTTAAATACCCGATATTCGGTTCGGTACCATTACGGGCCGGTTCGGTACCGGTTCGGTGCGGGTTTTATGCCCACCCCTAACCCCAACCATTTCATTAATGGCATATTTGTTAATATCGTGAACTATGTACCTTTTTTGTTACAGAACATGTGTGCCTCTGTCTGCGTCTCATCCTCGAACTGCAATTCTATGGCTAAGCTGTTTCATCGATGAACTGCAATTCGAGCGCTGTACAAGACGAACGAGCAAGTTTTGGTGACGACGACTTCGCATTGAAGACATATCGAAGGTACAAATCGTCATCTTTTTTCTTAATCTGAACTACTAAAGTTTTTCCTCATCTGCTTCCCTAATGTATTATCTGCGATTGAATTTTACCCTTATCGACTTCCCACTGACTTCGACTTTGGTTTTGATTTTGTGAATCATAATTTTTGATGTAATCTATTTCAATTAGACATTCTTTCTACGAACAGTTTTTCTCGTTACTTTTTGGTCTCTTATTTTTTTTCATAACTCAATGGAAACAATATATTATGCCTATCTAGTGTTTGTATGAATGTTTCTAACCCTAATGGAATTCATTCGAGCCTATTGTGTAATTTTATGAATACAGATTTAAACCTTTATGTATTCAATTATATTTTTGTCCACAGAAATTAGAATTGAACCTTCTAAACTTTAGCCCAGAGTTTTTAATAAAAGTCATGTGTTTTCACTACAAGAAAAGTGCACATAGACCGCACATAGACCAATATTTTTTTGCAATGGCCGCATAACTGTCGTTAAAAACACTATTAACTACACATTTTTTTATTTACCACATACAAAACTGTGGTAAAAGGTCAGAGACGACAGTTTTTAACCGTGGCCAATGTTTATATCACGACTGTTGTGGCGACGCACGTAAAACTGACGCAAAACTGTCGTAATTATTCCTCCTAATGTTTTTACGACAGTTTTGCAACAGTTTTAGATGCGTCGGCACAACAGCTGTGGTAAAAACATTGGTCACGGTTAAAAACTGTCATCTCTATGCTTTTACCACATTTTTGTGTGTGGTAAATAAAAAATGTGTGGTTAATGGTGTTTTTAACGACAGTTATGCTGCCATCGCAAAAAAATGTGGTCCATCTGCAGTCTATGTGCACTTTTTTTGTAGTGTTTGATTTAATAGTCATAGTAATTTGAATATAAGTTTTATAGTTGATAGAGAACCTTACTGTTTATTACTTTTCAGCATCATGGATCAAGTTGATAATGTTGATAATGTTAATGTCGTTGATGTGAACTCAACTGTGAACTCAACTCCATGCTTGAACACTTCCTTATCTTCTAAACAATGGATTCCAGCTTGCCCCCCCTGATTGTAAACCTGATGTTGGTATGTCTTTCCCCTCATTAGGAGATGCTTTGATCTTTTACAATCAGTATGCTTCTTTCTGTGGATTTGAAGTGCGTTTAGGAACTAATAATAAGTATAAAGATGGTACTGTTTTGAGGAAGTATTTTCTGTGCAACAAACATGGCTTTAAAGAGGATAGTGACAGTAATCAAAAGCGTGTTCTTAAAGCTGAAAAATGAAATCTGGTGAAAGTAAATCTCGCCGAACTGCCCTAAAGAGAACTTGTTGTGGTGCTTGTAGAAAGTGCGTTTTTCTTCTGGTTCGTATGAAGTGTACTATTTTTATGAGGCACATACACATGAGTTTACTACGCCAAAAAGTCAAATGTTTCAAAAGCAAAACCGTAATCTAACTTCGTGCAAAAGAAATTTATTTTTGACAATGCAAAGCTCAATAAGGGTGCAAGTTTATCTTTTCATATGATGAAAGAGCATGTGGGTGGGTATGCAAATGTTGGCACTTCGTTGGTTGATTTCAAGAACTTTTAGGTGGAATTTTAAGATCTACTCAAAGATCAGAGAGTGAAAATAACTTTTTTAACCACTTCTTAAACCCATTCCTATCGTTGGTTGAATTTGCATCTCGCTTTCAAACTGCCATAGAGTCTCAACACTATCACCATGACCAGTTGCATGCTAATTCCAAGAAATCATTTCCTCAATTATATTGCTAACACCATTACCAATTGAAAAACATGCTTCTGAACTTTATACCCTCACTGTTTTTTACCTGTTTCAAACTGAGTGGAAAGCTGCTTGTTTTTCTTGTGGTATTCAAAGCTTTATTACTGATGAATTGGACCAGGATCATGTGTCTGTTGTTGATATTCTTCGTGGGAAAACGTATAAAGTTACATATAATCCCGGTGATCATGCTAGTTCTTGCTCTTGCAAGATGTTTGAGAGGGAAGGTATCTTGTGCCGTCATGTTCTATTCATAATAAAAAGTAAGGGTGTTCGTGAGCTTCCGGGTTAATATATACTAAATCGTTGGACAAAAAAGCTTTGGAAAAGCCTATTTTTGACTGTTCTGGGAACATATTGGATGAATGTGGTGCTGATTCGAAAAATAAGTTAATTGGTGGGTGATCTGTGGTCATCTTTTTTCAGTTGTGTTTCTCTTGCTGAGAGTTCAAATGATGATCTGCAGAAGTTATTGGACATGATTGAATCTTTCAAAGGCTCTATTCTTTCAAAACATACTTCCAATGATGTTGGAAAAAGTTCCAATGATATTGAAAGCCTTATAGGTATTAGCTTTTCATCAGAATATAGCATTTATCCTCTGAACATTTATGTCAATAAAAGCAGAAAAAAGAATGATTAGCAAGCGTGAAGAAACTATACTTAAAAAGAGGTCAAGTAATGTAGGAAAAAGTGATGCTTGTGCAACAGAAGATCAAGTCAAGAAGCCAAAAACATGTAAATCTTGTGGTGAAGTTGGTTTCCATGATAGTACAAATTGTCCTAATAAAGAATGTGACACTTCTTCAAGGTAATAACTCGTTTAATATTTTAATTCTTCTGTAGTTCTTTATTTATTTATTTATCTGGTTCTTTATTTTTTTACAGTTCTTGATACATTGGAGTGTTGTTGCCTCTTGTTGTTTTCAAAGTTCTGAACCTAATTTGGCATATTTTTGTTGCTTTAGTTTTGCATTTTGCCAACGTATGAGTTGAGCTTGTAAGTGAATTTGGTTTCCATTATTGTTTTGAATGGTTTTCATTTATGTTAAATTTTTGGTAGTTCATAAATTTTCTAACTGCTACTTTATTTTTTGCAGTTCTTGCTACATTGGACTCTGGCTGCCTCTTGATGTTTTTCCAAGTCCTGAACCTAAGTTTGAATGTTTTTGTTTCTTTAGCTTTGCATTTTGCCAACTAATGAGTTTAGCTTGTAAGTGAAGTTGGTTTCCATTATTGTTAAAACTGTCCTAGACACTTCTTCACTTTTATAAGTTGCTAACTATTTTAATTGTGTCATAAATTTACACTTTCTAACTGCTATTATTTTATTTTTTGCAGTTGCTTATAAACTGGACTGATATCCAGTTAGAGACGTATATGCGTATGTGTAAATTGAAACTTCAAAGATTGCATTCAATCGAACGAAATGTCAGGAACCAATTAAAGACTAAAATACTCAACAACTCAGAGTTACAATTACACCCTAAATCTCATTCTATTAGAACAACTTTTTAATTTCAGAATTAAATGTTAATTTACTAATCCGTTTCCATATGTTCCCTCCGTATTTTTTTGTTTGCTACACTTTTCTTTTTTCGATGTATTCAAAATTTGTTACACTTTCCCTTTTCGGTAAGTTTTTCCTTTAAAAATACTCAATTATCCTTACTTTTTCTACTTTTTATCTTCTCTTTTATACTTGTTCATCATCTCCCTAACTTTTTCTACAATATATTTCGTATTCATTACCCCTACTATTTCTCTCTTAAAAAATTTGCCAACACCTATTGTAGTAAACAAAAAATACGGAGGGAGTATAATAAACCAAAATCAAAGCTTGCACTTGCAATGATGAACACATATATTGCATAATATGAGAACGGATGATGCTGCTTTAGACGAATCTTAAAATAAAAGTGAAGATATTTTGATTAAATTTATAAGGTTAGATTTTTATCAATTACAAACTGAAAAAGAAACATATCTAAAAGAAAACACTCATCAAACTTGTCTCTTATAAATTGTAATGTGCAAATGGGAAAATTGATTAAAAGACAAAGAAAAAATCTATCTTAAACTCGAAAATACCATCTTGTTTATCAGTTCTCAATCATAGACAGAATGTATTTTTAAAGGAAATACCTTAATTATATTATTATTGATAAAAATAACAGAGACAATTACAATCAGATATCACAAGGTTACAATGGGGTGAGACATAGAAACAGACGATTCAAATTGAAAACATCGACTCACTAATCCGGCAAAGAAGTTGAATCTACCTGCAGATTCACTGCTCTTGATACGATAACAATATTTCTTAAAAAAATTTATTGAACATCCCGTTTTGTTCAGCCACTGGTAAGGATCCAAGCGTATAATTTGTTCCGATTTCACCAACCACCGGAAAGAAAGCACTCCAAGTGATCCCATCTTCGTGGAACGACGGTGGTTCAGGACAGTTCATATATAATGCAACCGGCACACCATGAGCATCATGCTCCTGTTCCAAAAACGACGCCGTTTGAAGCATGCTGCTCCCACCTGAAAAAATCGCGTGTTGTTCACGTGAACAGTAACCTTTGTTTTTGTTTTTTCATTGTCCAGGAGAAGAATGATGCAACTCGTGTGTAATGAAATGTAACTCACGTAAACAAGTATTCCAGCCCAACTGGTTGTGGGGTTACCATGCCTAGTGAGAGGTCTCGAGTTCGAAACCCGCTAGGCACATAAGGGTTCAAAACTCAATGGAGTGAGTTTTAGCCCTGATTACTCCAGGCCCCCCAGCCCCCCTAACCCAGACCCCCTGGAGTAAAAAAATGAAATGTAACTGACGCTGATAAAAAAAGTAACTACAGACAGGTTGAAATGTAATTTTTCTAATACGGATAATAAGAAATGAAATATTGATTTCAATGAAAACAATAAAAAAGAGAGTCTAAATGCACAATTACTTTACTTAAATCGTGAATATGTTTTGTTTTTCATATCATGACCATCAAAAGGATTTAAAAAAATCATTTTTTTGTTTCAATAGAAGGGGTTGATTTTTTGGGAGAACTATCAAATAAGCCCTGAAACTTATATAAAAAGTGCAAATCACCGATTATATAGGAGGCTATGTCCGGCCGTCGCCATTTGGGGCGGTTCCTGGTTGAATTTTTTGATGAATTTTTTTGAGCATCTTCAATTCAATCGGAAAAGCAGTCAAATGAATTTTTGAAGATAACTGCGCAGTTAAATAGCGCAATATATTTCAGAAAATCATTTGACTACATCCCTGGTTGCTTTTTTAGCTGCAATTTAGTATGAGTAAACTAGACTTAATGAATAAGATGCTCAAAAAAATTCATCAAAAAATTCTACCGGGAACCGCCCCAAATGACGACGGCCGGAGAGAGCCTCCTATAAAAGAGGTGATTTGCACTTTTTATGTAAGTTCGAGGGCCTATTTGGTAGTTCTCGTGTAACTCGTGTTTCCACCAATGTAATTCATTATGATAGCAAATATAATTTATGTCAAGTTAAAATGTAAGTTATCTAAAATAGAATATAATTAAGAATTAAAACATTGATTTCAATATAAATAAATAAAAACAGGAGTTTTATCCCTCTGAATGTAGTGTATGATTATGAAATACAATATACTTGTTATATGCCGGTTAATAAAAAATTTGTAGTAAAGAGAGAAGTTAACTTAGTTGTAATTTAATTACTTAATAATAAAAATTTGATGTCACAAAAATAACAAATAACTAAATGTAACTCGCACATAAATAATTAGATGTAAGTCACACATAAGTAGATGTAACTCACACATAATAAGATGCAACTCGTACATAAGAAGATGTAACTTCAAATGTAACTCCAAGAATCAAAATAAACATATTCAATGTCTTAAAAATCCTTAAAAACATATAAAAGAGATAAACAAAATTGTACAAAAAATGTATGCGTATAAAAATATATTACAAAAAGTGTATGGATATAAAAAATATATTACAAAAAAGTGTATGAATATTGTAAATATCACAGAAACAAAAGTAGTGTATGAATATAAATGCATTATACTTATTTCATTTAGATTTATAATTTTTTTGTTATGTATTGATATAGAATACAAAAAATAGATTCAATTATTATGTGGATTACTAAAATATACTTTTTATGTGGACTAATAAAATATAAAATGTTAATAAAACTTTGGATTAATAAAACTGTGTAATAAATTGGTAAAGCAAAAAAGTTAATTCAATTATATTTTAATTAATTAGAGAAAAAATTGACTAAAATCACAATTAACTTTTAAAATTTTGATTGAGATAAAAAAGAATTGAAGAAAATAAAAAAGACAAAATAAAAGAAAGAAACCTCGAGGAGTTGAGGGGAAAGAAGAAAGGGAAAAGGGGCAAAAACCCCCTTGGAGTTGTCAATAAAGGGTACATATGCCCTTAAAGTATTTTTTTGTGTAAAAACCCCGTAGAATATCTAAAAGAAGGGCAAATGACCCCTTCCGTTTAACGGTGAACTAAAGCATGCATCTGCCGTCAAAATGAAATGGAGTGCTTTAAAATAAATTAAAAAAAGTGGGGGAATTTGCAAAAACGTAGAGTTTAAACCCTAAAGGGAAAAGGTGCAAATAGGCCCATGTACTAACCAAAAAAGGTCAAATAAGCCCTTATTTAGGAGGCTCTATACGGCCGTCGTCATTTGGGGTGGTTCCCGGTGGAATTTTTTGATGAATTTTTTTTAGCATCTTATTCATCAAGTCTAGTTTACTCATACCAAATTTCAGCTAAAACTTTAATCGGGAAGGTATTCAAATAAATTCTTGAAAATAACTGCACAGTTAGAAGCGCATTTATCTTCAAGAATTCATTTGAATGCCTTCCCGATTGAAGTTTTAGCCGAAATTTGGTATGAGTAAACTAGACTTGATGAATAAGATGCTCAAAAAATTTCATCAAAAAATTTCACCGGGAACCACCTCAAATGGCGACGGCCGGACAGAGCCTCCTAAATAAGGGCTTATTTGACCTTTTTTGGTTAGTACATGGGCTTATTTGCACCTTTTCCCAAACCCTAAATTAACTAAACTCCTTTGATAGCAAGCATTTCTCTGCAACTCAAATTGAAGCTCAATTTAAGACGCCCGATTGCCGGCATCTCTCAGCAACCTATATCGAAGCTCAGGTTAAGCCGCTTCCCTCTTCTCTCTTCAATTAACTAGGCCGCATTTCTCTTCTCAGTTCATGAAATCTTTGGGGAATAGCTTGTAAATTTCATTGTAAGAAACTCAGGTTGGAACACATCATTTCCTTTCCTTTTAAATGTCCAATACACAAACTTTAGTTCATATTTCATATCTTTCTTTACTGTATGTAAATTATATATGTATCGTTTGTGTCGTTTGTGTTGCTTATTATGTAGGTCATATTTATTATCTTTTTTTATACTTTTGTTTAGAGTTTACCATCGGTTTATGTATGTGTAGTATAGCTTAGAGTTTTTAGTACTTAGTTGATTTTTTTTCATTTTATGGAGATGGTCCATATCACATGCGACAACGAACTTGTGATAATTTAAGTTGTCCTTGTTGTCTTAATGTTTAATGGGTCTCTTAGCTATTCTGCAGTTTTTTATTCTTAATGGCTCTCTTAGGTAGTTTTATTCTTAAAACTTGGGTTATCTCTTTTCTGATAAATTAGCTACCCTCTTGCAAAAAAAAGCAAACTGTTAGAGCTTAAGGTTTGAAAATGGTCGAGTCTTAAATTTAGGCTACAAGAATTTCAGAGGCATTGGGAAGTCTCATAGTTACACCTAAGCAAACTTTTGGATTTTCAGGTATGGAAATTTTGCTTGTTAGTTTTCTGCAATTTTTTATTCTAACTATAACTTAGATGTTTATAGTGATTTTTTTAATTACTTGTCACAGAATGGAGGTAGATGAATTTGATTACATCTATAGTGGTGTTCCAACCGGCTATGTTAGTGATATAGAAGATGATAATGAAAATGAATTGCAAGAAGTCAGCAGTGATGAAGAATCTGGGGAAAAAGAAAGCTCTATAGAGGATACTGAAATGCTTCATGACCAACATAGTTGTGCAGCAGAAAGTGGAGAAATGCATTTTATGATAGGGATGACATTTGCTAATGCAAAAGAAGCTAGAAGTGCTATAGCTAACTATTCTGTCGCGGCAGGGGTTAAACTCAAAATAGACCCGAATGAACCTCAAAGAATTAGGGCGAAATGTGTGAATGAAGTAAGTTGTCCATTCAACTTATACATATCTAAAGATGGAAAAAATCAAGGTTTAGCTGTGAAGACATTGATCAATGAACATAAGTGTTTTAGACATTATTCCCTAAACACTGCTTCAGCAAGTTGGTTGGCCAAGTATTTTAAGGACAAAATTTATAAAAATCCAAAGTATACTGCTCAAATGATGAAAGATGATGCAGAGAAGGAATTGAAGATC